CAAAAAAGGCATTTTGGCATAATTGTGTGTTTTTAAGTGACGTAAATTAGTCATTTGAACAGGAAACATTACAGTTCTTTTTCTGTTCCTTCTATATCATGGATGAAGCAAGCTGATTATATTACAGATCTGAGGCTGGACAAAATGTCTGATTATAATTCAGATAAAACAATGACCAGTAAAGACACAAGCCTGAAGCTCTCTTTAAAAACAAAATCATGTCCTGAGACAGGAAATTAATGCATTATATGGAACTCAATTCAATAAAACATCTTAAATATCCCCAGCGGAAATGTTGTAAAAAGAAATGCTTGAAAACAACATTTCCTGTGTACTTTCTTCTCAGTAATGGAAATCAATTATTCTCTTATTGGCATTTTGATTGATAGAGGACAGGAACTGATTAACAGAGGTTACACTCCACAAAACCAGGAAATTGTTCAAACAAAGACAGTGGCGCCTCCAGAAATGTTTCATAGGGGTGGCCAGATGGGACCAGTTAAAATCTTGGGGTGGCACAGCAAAACTACAGTATAAACCATAATTTCAGAATTGTATTCTACTGTTGTGTAGAAAACTATCAGAAAGACTTAAGGAAACTCCTACTTTGGTTTATTGTGTAATATTTAATGTTATATATATATATATATATATATATATATAGGGCCCTTGCCCCACAGCAAATTACCAGATACTTACATAATTGTGATGAATTTAATCATTTTTAAGTTATTATTTTGCAGTGTAAGATTACAGTTAACACCTTTAAATATTACATAAATGTACTATGAATTTTTAATAAACTTAATGAGTGTATACATCAGCAGCAAAAAGTAATTCTTGAAAAAATCTGCACAGTAATTTTATAAAATCTAAATATGTTAATAAAAACAAATTACTATTAGTTCTCTTTTAAAATTCAATCAGGCAATCATACATGTCACAATTATATATATATATATATATATATATATATATATATATATATATATATATATATATATATATATTAATGTCAAGAATTCAGAAGTGCATAGCCTACACTACAAATAAATGATATACAATTAAATTATGCTTATTTAAAATGTATTGAGCAGGCTAGGTATAACAAAATATATTGCCTTTTAATAATATTTCAGTGCGCAAACCCATGATAACATGAAAAACAGAGAGCACACAGCGTGTATGCGCATCGCGGGTGCAGAATGATGTGCTCAAAGCAACATGGAGTCACAGTGTGCAGCAGCACTGCGCTTCATAAGTGCGCATTTAAAAGCTCATGTCACAAATCGAAGAAATGTTGAGCGCACAAATCCTAGTGCGATTTGTTCCTTCGTTTCACAGTTATTGTGCGTTTGATGCCGATTCATAGTCCTTGTGATATGTGTGATCTAACAGTAACAAGCACACGGTAGTGAGTCGTTTAAAAACAGCAACAAACTCCAAGAAAATAAAGTAATTTTATGCGAATATACTGTACAGCCTTTTATCTACAGATCATGCATTTATAACGTGAATATATCATATTGGAGAGAGTTTTACCGTGCATCCAAGAGGCGCGCGTGCTGTTTGAATATGAATGGAGAATGATTGACAGCCGCAGAGGAGGGAAAACGAGTTTCCGTATACTTTAATGATGTAAATATACTTCTGTCCCTCACATTAAGCTATGGAATGACTTCAGATGACTTTGTCACCCAAACTGACGTGAAAAAAGCGGGAGGCGCCGAAAAGCGCGCTGTTTGCATCCCTGCCTGTCCAAACGTGGCAAAAACACATCAAAAAGCTGCTGTAACAGTATACCATTTGGCACTTAAAAAGCACGTCACGACACATAATTCCCCGTCTTCTTTTACTTAAGAATATTTTTGACTTATTTATAAAATGCATAACTGATGCTACAAAAATTAATACTGGCCATTGGGGTGGCCAATGGGGTGGCCAGGAGTCGGCCAGGGGTGGCCATGGCCACCCCTGGCCACCCCCTGGTGGCGCCATTGAACAAAGACCAAAGCTTCCTTTTTAAATCTATGAACGTTTAACATAGACAAGATGTTATCAAGCTGCCCCTTACACTGAAAACACTTATTTCAACAATAGTTGATAAATACAAGGATGTGAGAATCATTTACCAGCGATAGTGGTTGTATCACCATGGTTCGAAAACCAGGAATAACTTGATAAGGGTTTTAAAATAAGAATACGCAAAAATTATACCTCTCAAACTTGAAATTTCAACCAAACACATAAGTGAAGACAGCCAGATTATAAAGCTTTACCAATTGCAGAAGTGCCCTGAAAGGCAGGCGAAATCAATCGGACGTTGTGCAGCACAACATCCATTTATGATCTGATGATTTCATAGCAATCTAGAGGTCCAAACACAGAAAGCAAGGAACACACACACACACACACACACACACACAGACACAAAATCTGATTTTACGGCTCCAAAGTAGTCTGTGATCAAACTCCAACTGCAAAAAAAGCCTCCAGAATGATTGAGTGAGGCAAAAATCCAATACAGCTCAATCTGAGGTAATGGCTGTCTAAGACCTCCAGCTGATTTGAAGAGAAAAACAGTACAAGTGGTGTATTGTGGGAAGGCCAGCGTTCTGAAAAGGGCTTGTATTGACGTCACACTTTGAGAGTCAAGCCTATTATGCCTCTTCAACCTTGCCAATAAGCGTGTGACAAAATGAGCCGTTCCTCTCGGATTGAACGAAGCTCCTATTCTCGGTCTCTCACAGGACTGTTACAAAAAAAAAAAAAAAAGATTTTCCTGTTATACATACAGTATATGAGAAAAGAGCAGCGAGTCTTGAGGGTCAAGAGGGTCATGCATAGACCAATGTGATTTTATTGGTTTAGGCAGTCCCTCCAGAAAAACGCGATTATGCGATCGCTGAATTCAATGCAAAATCAGCCAAGGTCCGCATATTTATGCGGGGGCCGCATTTTTTCAAAAACGCCGCACTTTCGCCGCATAAATTGCCGATTTCCGTGCAAAATATGCGGGGTTTGCATAATTTCATAATCCTCGCATTTCCGTTGCAAAAAAAGTCACATGTATCTTAGCAGAAAGTTGAAAAATGTTGCGTTTGCTTCACACAAGAGCAGCCATTTCCCCCTGTTTCCATGGGAACGTTATGAAGTGACGCAATTACGCGACGCCAGACAGACTCACGGAGGTGATTGACATCTCACAAATCGAACTCGTATAACTGTCTGTCACACGTTCTACCGTCACATCGTTACTTAATAAACAACATAATATAAAAGAAGTAGCATCAAACAGAAATTACCCGCACAAATGGGGTGTTCGAGGTGCACATATAACACTGCAGAGAGTTCAACAGGGAGCGCGCAGCTCTTAAAGGGGCCACACCTTATTTACACTCGTTACAGTCTGAAATAAAACAAGATGAGAAATTAAATATTCCCAGCACTTTCTATGATGTAGTATGCTTGCTTATCAAAGGAAGTAATAAGAAATGACTCTTAAATTAGCCTAGTGAGAACAGGATGTTGGGGGAATCACTTTTTTCTCTTTTTCATCAAACCGCAATTTTTGCAAGTTCCCTCAATTTTTGCAAATTCCTGCAATTTCATCGCAAAAAATTGCATAAATATCCCGCATATTCCATCGCATTTTTTAAGAAAACGGGCCACGTAATCAATCAATTTTTGCCAGCAACAATCACACAAAAAAACTCAGCGTTTTTCTGGAAGGACTGAATACTATTATGGTAAATGTTATATATAAATCGCACATTTTTTCACAAATTTTTGGAAATTACCACCACAAAATCAGTCATTTTGATCGCAAAAATCACAAAAAAAAAAACGTGAAATCCTGGTGGGACTGTTTAGGGGCACAATCTTTAAAAAGCGAAGATGGATATGAGGTCTGCAATGGGGATGGGAAACAAAATCAATTTGTGTCATTTGTTTGCTCTTTGACATATTGCCTCAGACACACAGTCATTATTCGAGGTCAATGCTGGGAGAAGAATATAACTGTGATGGTTATAGTTGGATATAATATAATAGCAATATAGTTTCCATTATTTGGATGGCAAAACATGATTGAAATGTTGTCAGAGGCCTATATAGGTTTGGAACAACATGAGGGTGAGTAAATGATGACAAGAATTGTATTTTTGGTTGAACTTCATAACTTGAATAATATGATTAATATAAAAAAATACCATTGCCATCAATGCAAAATCAATTTACATTATGTTCGACTTTAGTTACAAAGAAAAGTACCATTTGTTGTCACATCATCATATGTCTTTTTTATTTATTTTGTTGATGGTACTGCCCAACCCTACAACAAACTCTGAAAACACTTGAACCAACGTAATATAAACTAGAATATTAGCAGAGGAAGTCAAGCTAACCAAAGAAAGACTCACAGGCATTTCCGCCAACTGCCTCCCCAAGGTCTGAGACTGGAGGATGCATTCAACTCAAATTCTATTCACATAAACCCACACAGCACAAACCAAACACTATCTGACTCACGATGTGCCAGACCACTGTTTAAAAGCAGGCACTAAACATAGCCCAAAACCAAAGCCGAGAACTATTATGTTACCGAAATGATTGACAACTGAAAGACTGAGGAAATCTATTGTGTTGCTTCAAGAAGGGGTGATTTTCTTGTTCGTTTTTTTTCTCTCTCTTTTTGCCACTGGGAATAAAAATCAACATTAAATCAAAATGGACCCTTTTTACTTGAAGACACATTAAGACACAAATGTTTGCCTTTATAATCTTTTTACCAAAACGTATTAGCTTGCTCTAAACTGACTTTCCTTTTCATCCGTCTCCACCTCTTACTTTCCAAGCACCTGTCGTACAAAGACCACTTTTTATGATCCAATCAATTCTCTATGGAAAAATCCATTGTAAATATCCATCAAAATACTTAAATGTTGCCTTTAAGAAGGATTTCAACATGAAGAAAATCTACCAGAATAATCGATTCGTACCTTTTATCCCAAATTTGTTACGTCGGCTGTATTTGTTGATGAGGACGAAAATCACAATGAGGAAGACGCAGCCGAAGCCAGCCAGACCAACAGCAATCGACATCTACAGGGAAAAAGCAATAAAGCTGTCAATGACACAGCAACGTCTGCTGAAAAGCACAATCGACGTTATAGGAGAACAGAAAGGACAACTTACTCCGAATGAATCTTCTTCAGGTCTCTTTGCCTCATCTTCAGCTGTTGGAGCTACAGGAAATAGAAATGACATTGCACATTTGATGATGTAGAGCATTATAAAATCAACTAAAACCATAAAAACTGTTTTCGTTAATTGAAATAAAGCTGAATTTAATTATAATATAGTATTGCATGAAAATTAGAAGTGTTGCCTTATCAACTGAAATAAAACAATTTTAAGTTGTATGACTAAAATTACTGAAATATTAAACAATAGCACATAAAATCACTAAAATTACTACTAAAATATAAATATAATTTAAAATGTTAATAAATACTATAATATTTAAAAAAAATATACAAAAATAACACTAAACTCTGTTTAGTCTCTGTTTACTTATGAAATGTGGTCTGAAAATCAAACCATTGTTTGGGCCAATATATATTATAATTAATAAATTATTCATAAAATCTTTTATACTGTACTTTTCTATGCACATTTCTGAAATGCACTTTCTGTAAAGCTGCTTTGAAACAATACAATTGTGAAATTGTGAAAAGCGCTATACAAATAAACTTGAATTGAATGGAAATGTATATAAAAAGTACTCTCAACGTAATGCATCACAGTGTGATTCATAGCTTCATAATATCCTAATTAAATAAATCTAAATTAATTAGACTTTTGACTCAATAACTATTCAGCCCTGTGTCAATGTCCCTCTATCACAACTATCCCTGCTCCCCCCTACTGTATATATTGAAAACTTTCTGTTCCTTATTTTCATGTCGCTTCTTGGCTACATTTATGATGCTGCCTGAAAGCCACATTGATTAGTAAGAGAGGGTTTTGTCTCAACCTGTGTGGCTTGTTCACAAGTGTCAGAGAGGAATTGCCATTTAATTGAGTCGTAATGGCAGAGGTGCAGCAGGGCTCACATCATACACCCAAAGCATGAGCCGTCCTCCGATTTAAAAACAATTATGCCATCCTGGTCTCTTAATGCATGGAGCTTGTATACGTGTCCAATATATGCTGCGATTCATGAGGGCTATTCTTCCGTCTTTAAGTGTGTCCTCTATTACAGACACCAGACAATAAAGAAGTCTTCAAGTATTGGTGCACAATTACTACATAATACATTCTTGTTTGATAAGTTCTGTGTTTTGGGTGCACTTGAGAAGACATAACTCTTGAAAATGTATCTTTTCTTATCAATTCCTTCAATGCTGTATTTAAGATCAAAGATTATAGAAACTAAATATTTATTATGTTTTGACCAAGCCAGAACAAGGACATGAGATGTGACCATCTGTTCATATGAATTATGTCAAAAAGAGAGGCACTTACTGTACTCAATTATTCCTAAAAGAACAGCAAGGGGAGAAAAAAAGGAAAATGTTGTAAATACAGAACATTAAATGGTTCATATATATATATATATATATATATATATAGTTTTCAGCAGTTACTACAGTCTTCAGTGTCACATGATCCTTCAGAAATCATTCTAATAGGCTGATTTGGTACTCGGGTAACAATTCTTCTTCTTATTATTATCAATGCTGAAAACAGTTCTTCTGCTTAACATTTTTGTGGTAATGGCGACACATTTTTTCAGGATGCTTTGACTAGTAGATGGTTCAATGAACAACATTTCTTAAATTTGAAAAGCTGAAAATTCAGCTTTGATCACAGGAATAAATAATATTTTTAAAATACGTATTAAAATAGAAAACTGTTATTTTGAATTGTAATAATATTTGAACAACATTGCTGTTTTATTTTGGATGAAATAAATGCAGACTTGGTGAGCATAAGAGACTTCTCTTAAAAACAAACTCTGGGCAGGTTCTGTATATACTGTATACACATATAAGGGTGTATCAGAATAAAAAAAGAGCAAATTCATACCTTGTGATAAATGATAAATTACATTGTGCAGACTTACCGTCATCCTCACTGAACGGTGGCTCGAGGAAATAGCCGTGGACAGTTTTGGTAACTGACCCAAGGGAGTTAGTGGCTACTAGGGTGTAGTATCCATTGTCGTAATGCGTTGGGTTCTCAAAAGTCAAGCAGCCTTCCAAGTAATCTTGGTAGTACTCCATCTCCATGCGGATGTATTCGCTCTGCTGGATCTCAAGATCCTTGTGGAACCAGCGCAGTGTGGGATGGGGATAGCCCCTCACGGTGAACTCGATGCAGGTGTGATGGCGCCGTTCCGGCTCGTCCAGCTTCAGGATTACTGGTGGAACTGATATAAGAAGAGAACAAATAGGAACAGATAAAGGACAGAATCAGTGAAATACAGATCTCCCACCTGTGGTAATCTGCTGGCAGGCAAAGGGAAGAACACTAAAAGCAAGGCATGCAATCTACAATGAAATGCACATAATTGTTCTTTCTTTGATGCAACATGTGCACTGTATAATGCACAATAAAGCCGAAATGTAATGCAGTAATTATGCTGAAAATATTTTCAAATATATTCAAATAGAAAACAGTTATAAATTGTTATAAATAAAATGTATATATGCATTTTATTCCTCCAACTTCAACACTGTGTTGAGATGCTATTTATAAACACGAGCAGAGGCCAGATATCTTTCCACCATGACTGTCTTATATCTCTGGCATCACCACTATGGCACCAAGCTGATCTGATTTCATTACCATGTAGAATGACAGTGTGAACAGATAATGTCAGATGTAAAAAGACAGATCAGAATCGGGTGCAGTTTGAACAGAGCCTAAATTTGTTGGATGTGCACTATGGACTTTGATTTTCATTTGAACCACTGTATTTTGCTGACACTAAAAAGCGCTGATTCTCATTTGTCAGGTGACAGATCGTGACATGCTGACTAGGGATGGGCAACGATTAATCGCATCCAAAGTAAAAGTTTGTGTTTACATAATATATGTTTGTGTAGTGTGTATAATTAATTTGTATATATAAATACCCACACATGCATGTATATATTTAAGAAATATATGCATGTATATATTTTATATATATATTTATTCACAATTAATATTATATATAAATATAAATATTTGATATATTAATAACACATTTTTCTTAAATATATACATGCATGTGTGGGTATTTATATATACAAATTAATTATACACTACACAGTACACACACATATATTACTGTATGTAAACACAAACTTTTATTTTGGATGCGATTAATTGTTGCCCATCCCTGACTGCAATTTAGATTTGAAGGGAAGACAGGAAAATTCTCAGTGAAAGCAACTTTATAATTGCAGTTTGTTTACCACACAAAGCGATTAAAGGAGTAGTTCACTTTTAAAAAAAACTTTTGCTGATAATTTACTGACCCCCATGTCATCCAAGATATCCATGTCATTCTTCTTCAGTTGAAAAGAAATTAAGGTTTTTGATGAAAACATCCCAGGATTTTTCTCCATATAATGGACTTCAATGGGAACCAAACAGTTCAAGGTCCAAAAGACAGTTTCAGTGCAAACTGCAAACTGTTCAAAGGGCTTTAAACGACACCAGACGATGAATATTTGTTTTATAATTGAGTCAATTTGTTCATTTCGTTCATTGAATCAACCAAATGACACGAAAAAAGATTTGTTCATTTTGATGAACGAATTCGAACAGGAGAGTCACAAACGCGCATCACAGAACAGAGCAAGACGACCATTTGAGCTTATAAAACTTAAACTTTTTTTTTTTTTAATGAGCGATCGTTTCGCTTGATAAGAACCTTATTCATCGTCTGGAATCATTTAAAACCCTTTCAACAGTTTGCAGTTTGCACTGAAACTGTCTTTTGGACCTGAACCGTTTGGTTCCCATTGATGTCCATTATATGGAGACAAATGCTGGAATATTTTCATCAAAAACCTTAATTTTTTTTCGACTGAAGAAAGAATGACATGGACATCTTAGATGACAAGGGGGTGAGTAAATTATCAGCAAAAGTTTTTTTAAAAGTGAACTACTCCTTTAAATTACTTCAGATGAATATAGTGTACAGCAGGGTTACATTGTTGTGTTCTGTTCAACTGTCTTTGATTTGTGTGTTATAACAATGACTCATTCTTTCGGATACAAAATTTATATTTAATTGACCTATTGGTAAGCCCTGCCCTCCTTAGTTACTGTTGCTATCTCTGACAAACAATGGGGGACCTGTGCCCCAGTACAACTTTATGTCTAGCAACACCCCTGGTGTACAGTACAACTTATAAGACGCCTGTGTGTATAAATCTCTATTCACTTTCATTGTATAGAAAACAGCAAGTCAGACATTCAGCTTATTTTATGTGTCAGTCACACAGATAAAATAAAATGAGAGTGACTACAACAACAAAGACGTGAGTGAGTAAATATTCTACTACTTTAATCCAAGTTTCCATTCCTTTAATATAAGAGACTCAAAGACTTCTGAGGTGAAATGTGTAGATTTCTTAACAATGGAGTTGCTGTCAAGTAACAAGCAGAACCAGTAAATCTTGACCCACTGTTATGCTTATAAATCGGATTTTAGATGAAAAATGGACAGAGCATAAATTTGACAGAGGGACATCTCGTAATCGTGCTGTCACAGACTGTATATTATTGCGCACTATTCAAAGGTAAACCACATGCAAATGTCTTGTCCGACACTGCGCGTTTGTTTGTCATTCAAATGAGAACGCATCATTATTGTCAGCTGCCTTCTTTCGCCGAAGTGATTTGTGCTTGGCTGAATGATGAGACTAGACTAGAGATAGATCTCTCCTGTGGAGCGGCTCGGCACACATCCCGCCTAAACAGATGACATGTGTTTTAGAATCAGCATGCAGCAGCAACCTTGCTCTCGGCCTGTCTGCTCTGACTGCTGCATGAGGCCTGTCATTTAGGGAGTCCTGCTGCAATCCCACCAGGAGAGAGAAAGACAACAGGAGGGATGTGCATCCCATCTGTGCATCTCATATTCCAAAGCTTTTCATCAGAATGCAAAAAATTCAACTGGTGCACTTCTCACCTTTTGGCTTTGTTGACACTGACTGCACCCAATTGCGATTTCTTACATTATCCTTTTGGTGACACTTTACAGTAAGGTCTTATTTGTTAACATTAGTTCATGTATTAACCAGTCTTGTGCCTGAACGCGTTCATATTTTGGGCGAACGTGAACTGAACGTACTGTATTACTGCCTGATGAACGTTACTGTGAACTCATTCATTCTGGTGTCTGTGAACGCACACTCTCTCAGTTTAACCTCGTTCAGTAGGGTGCCAGATTTCTATAGAGCCTTCCAGGCGAAAACCGAGCTAAAACACACTTAAACAGGCCTTAATATGTAGCGAAAAAACACCCAATCTGGCAACACAAGACACCAGTCGCAGCCGCCGTCGACAAAGCAGCGAGCGAGGAGGCGTCGTATGATCAATTAAACAAGTTTTATGACGAGCTGAGGATGGGAAAAATCGTACATTTCTGAGCAAACTTAACTTAAACGATAAAATAATTGTTGTCTGTGGTTGGATATGGGCTGTGGCAATAAAAAAAAGAAAAAAAGCTCGCAACATATGGGAAAAAAGAACTAAGAATGAACTAGTTTGAAGTATGAACTATGAACTGAACTAGTTCATTTTAAAATGTGTAAATTGAACTTTGAACTAGTTCATGTAGAAAGTGAACTTTCCCAACACTGGTTAACTAACATGAACTAACAACGAGCATTGCATCTGTTACAGTATTTATTCATATTTGTTTGTTTGTTAATAAATATAATGTTGTTCCTTGTTTCTCAATATCTCTCATTCCCATAATTATTTATGTGGCAAAAGTGGTATGACTGTACCCTATCCTTTACAAGTCCGCCTAGTTTGAACTTAGCAACTGCTCTCTCCATGGAAGTTTTGCATTTAAAGACCGAAAAAAAAAATCGACTCAAATATTTCAAAATCAATGTTTCAGCCCTCTAGTTTGCGTCGTAATCCTGATCACTCTGTCAGGGTTTATTCTGCGATAACAATTGCCCATGTACATTTACTAATGTTAACAAATACAACATTTATATATATATATATATATATATATATATATACATTGGACACCATGTTTATATATATATATATATATATATATATATATATAAACATGGCGTCCAATATCATACATAAATATGTCAAAAGAAATATGGCAAATATATATATATATATAATATATATATACGTATAATATATATATATATATATATATATATATATATATATATATACATAATTAATGCACTTAATGGGACATACTTAATAAAAATCTAATGGGACAAAAAAAAATGAACAGGATAACAATCTAAATATAATATAATTAGCCTAATAAAGATATTATAAGCCATCAGCAAACATTCCTTTCACTTCCTTAAGAAAGACAAGACCCTGTACTTGGTTATTAATACCAAACTTGACAATTTTTCCACTCAGAGCCTTGCATCTTGTTGCTGTCACCTCAATTTAACGTCAAAGTGATGAGTCAGCAGAGTGATAAAATGTAATGCTTTTCATCAACTCAATGTCTTAAAATCATGTGCTGTTTAATGAACATAATGATGTCTTGAGTGTCAGATCATATCCGAGTCTTAAAACATCAACGGCATCAGCGAGAAAAATCCTCCATTCCTATTAAAACCAGGAAAAGTTGCAAAGATACTGCAGATAAATTTTTTCCTATAGATAAATGATTTTCATCTTATACCTGTTTAACCCAGTTTAACACAGTGCAAGGAAAGATGTCTATTTTTATGCATCACAACCTAACGCAATCCCTAAATACGTGCACACCCTCTGATTAAATTAACACAAAGTCTTACAGGTTCATAGGTGTTAATTGATGTATCAGTTCATTTAGTACCTTGTTCTATTTTAAACGTGTCCATACAGTTCTTTTTTTTTCAGAGTAGAGCATGGTGTTATTTGCGTTAAAGTTTGCAACAATTTCAATAAATGCATTTTCAGCATGATTTCTAAATAAGAATTCACAGCCTATATTCAAGTTATTCAAATAAAAGCCCCGTTTTCTACACATTCTACTCTTTTAGTACACTAAAACTCTCAAACTAAACTGTATAATTCCAAATACTTGTTTGCTTGGTCACACTTTAGATTAGTGTCCGATTCTCACTATGAACTAACTATTATCTATGACTTTTACCAATAAACTCCTTATTGCTGCTATTATTAGTGAGTAAGATAGTTGTTAAGTTTAGCTGCTAGGGTTAAGGGATGTGGAATAAGGTCACAAAGAATAAGGCAATAATAAGTGTCCATTGAAGTCCATTATATGGAGAAAAATCCTGGAATGTTTTCATCAAAAACCTTAATTTCTTTTCGACTGAAGAAAGAAAGACGTGGACATCTTGGATGACATGGGGGTGAGTAAATTATCAGCAAAAACTTTTTTAGAGTGAACTACTCCTTTAACTAGACAAAAAATACATACATTTTTGGCAATTTGCTGTAGATTCAGAAAACAATAATGATATTTCGACTTCTCATTTTGTACATAAAATTAAGTAAAATTAATTTTTAGCACACCTTCAACAATTACAGGACGCAGATTAAATGAAGTACACTGAAAGCAGTGGTTATATGAAAAGCTTCAGCGTGCTTTATTAAACCTGAAAGTGATCAATTCTGCAGCAGATTTTAAAAGAGAACTTAATTTTATTTTCCCTTGATGTTTCGCTTTACCTCAACAAAAGAACCAGATATGAAACCATGCTGATAGAACTAGATCCTCACATTCTCTAAAGGAAATCCGAGTGACGCTGTCCTGTACAAAACCCGTTGATAGTGTGCAATGGGTGGTTGGCAGGGCATTGCAATGTAGTTGCCAAGGTGCTCCGAATGGCTAGAGAATTTAGGGTGGATAATTTCTGGTCTCTAAATCTGTTATTGTTGTTGTCGTTTTGTTTGTGTGTGTGTGTGTGTGTGCCATGTTTTATCATCTGCCAGGTGAAAGTCTGGGGCTGGATTCATGAAAAAGTCATAATCATGACCGATCCCTGTTCACATAATCGATGATTGGTGCCACTGTACTCGTGGACACTAATGTAATGCGTAATACAGTATATGTCGCTACACTGTAATATCTAATTAGTTAAACTTACTTAAATGAGTAATTCACAATGATTTTTAAGAACATCCTTGTTCAGAAATTCAAATTATTTTCAAGTTTGGTCTTTAGAACAATCTAAAGAAAAAATATGAAAACATTCTTAAATGTTTTTTGAAGGGGATACAAAATATTCTCAACTTTATCCTTAAAGGATTAGTTCACTTTTGAAAAAACTTTTGCTGATAATTTACTCACCCCCATGTCATCCAAGATGTCCATGTCTTTCTTTCCTCAGTCGAAAAGAAATTAAGGTTTTTGATGAAAACATTCCAGGATTTTTCTCCATATAATGGACTTACATGGGAACCAGTTGGTCGGAGGTCCAAACGACAGTTAATAACAGTTTCAGATGCAGCTTCAAATGTCTTTAAACGACACCAGACGATGAATAAGGGTCTTATCATGCCAAACGATCAGTTATTTCAAAGCTTATTCCAAAAATCTAACTTTTCTAAGGACAAATGCTAGCATTGCTCCATTCTGTGAGGCGCGTTTGCAACGTCACGTAATGCGTAATTACGTTCAAAAGGTCACGGGCGACGTAGCCGGAAGTACAGAATCAAAATCGTCCGACATCGTTGTCTCAAACGGCGTTTGAGTTAGTTTGCACGTTCAACCTATGCGTTCAACTTGTAAACGCTCTGACTCTGTACTTCTGGCTACGTCGCCCGTGACCTTTTGAACGTGATTACGTATTATGTGACGTTACAAACGCGCCTCACAGAATGGAGCAATGCTAGCATTTGTCCTTAGAAAAGTTAGATTTTTGGAATAAGCTTTGAAATAACTGATCGTTTGGCATGATAAGACCCTTATTCATCGTCTGGTGTCGTTTAAAGACATTTGAAGCTGCATCTGAAACTGTTATTAACTGTCGTTTGGACATCCGACCAACTGGTTCCCATGTAAGTCCATTATATGGAGAAAAATCCTGGAATGTTTTCATCAAAAACCTTAATTTCTTTTCGACTGAGGAAAGAAAGACATGGACATCTTGGATGACATGGGGGTGAGTAAATTATCAGCAAAAGTTTTTTCAAAAGTGAACTAATCCTTTAAGGATAAAGTTGAGAATATTTTGTATCCCCTTCAAAAAACATTTAAGAATGTTTTCATATTTTTTCTTTAGATTGTTCTAAAGACCAAACTTGAAAATAATTTGAATTTCTGAACAAGGATGTTCTTAAAAATCATTGTGAATTACTCATTTAAGTAAGTTTAACTAATTAGATATTACAGTGTAGCGACATATACTGTATTACGCATTACATTAGTGTCCACGAGTACAGTGGCACCAATCATCGATTATGTGAACAGGGATCGGTCATGATTATGACTTTTTCATGAATCCAGCCCCAGACTTTCACCTGGCAGATGATAAAACATGGCACACACACACACACACAAACAAAACGACAACAACAATAACAGATTTAGAGACCAGAAATTATCCACCCTAAATTCTCTAGCCATTCGGAGCACCTTGGCAACTACATTGCAATGCCCTGCCAACCACCCATTGCACACTATCAACGGGTTTTGTACAGGACAGCGTCACTCGGATTTCCTTTAGAGAATGTGAGGATCTAGTTCTATCAGCATGGTTTCATATCTGGTTCTTTTGTTGAGGTAAAGCGAAACATCAAGGGAAAATAAAATTAAGTTCTCTTTTAAAATCTGCTGCAGAATTGATCACTTTCAGGTTTAATAAAGCACGCTGAAGCTTTTCATATAACCACTGCTTTCAGTGTACTTCATTTAATCTGCGTCCTGTAATTGTTGAAGGTGTGCTAAAAATTAATTTTACTTAATTTTATGTACAAAATGAGAAGTCGAAATATCATTATTGTTTTCTGAATCTACAGCAAATTGCCAAAAATGTATGTATTTTTTGTCTAGTTAAAGGAGTAGTTCACTCTAAAAAAGTTTTTGCTGATAATTTACTCACCCCCATGTCATCCAAGATGTCCACGTCTTTCTTTCTTCAGTCGAAAAGAAATTAAGGTTTTTGATGAAAACATTCCAGGATTTTTCTCCATATAATGGACTTACATGGGAACCAGTTGGTCGGAGGTCCAAACGACAGTTAATAACAGTTTCAGATGCAGCTTCAAATGTCTTTAAACGACACCAGACGATGAATAAGGGTCTTATCATTCGAAACGATCGGTTATTTCAAAACTTATTCCAAAAATGTAACTTTTCTAAGGACAAATGCTAGCATTGCTCCATTCTGTGAGGCGCGTTTGCAACGTCACGTAATGCGTAATTACGTTCAAAAGGTCACGGGCGACGTAGCCGGAAGTACAGAATCAAAATCGTCCGACATCGTTGTCTCAAACGGCGTTTGAGTTAGTTTGCACGTTCAACCTATGCGTTCAACTTGTAAACGCTCTGACTCTGTACTTCTGGCTACGTCGCCCGTGACCTTTTGAACGTGATTACGTATTATGTGACGTTACAAACGCGCCTCACAGAATGGAGCAATGCTAGCATTTGTCCTTAGAAAAGTTACATTTTTGGAATAAGTTTTGAAATAACCGATCGTTTCGAATGATAAGACCCTTATTCATCGTCTGGTGTCGTTTAAAGACATTTGAAGCTGCATCTGAAACTGTTATTAACTGTCGTTTGGACCTCCGACCAACTGGTTCCCATGTAAGTCCATTATATGGAGAAAAATCCTGGAATGTTTTCATCAAAAACCTTAATTTCTTTTCGACTGAGGAAAGAAAGACATGGACATCTTGGATGACATGGGGGTGAGTAAATTATCAGCAAAAGTTTTTTCAAAAGTGAACTACTCCTTTAAGAAAATAAGGAGATAGCAGTTAAGAATAATTGCATTTGTATGAATGTTTTTGTGAATCCTGAAAGTACCAGCATATCTTGCCTCAACAAGCTGCATAATTTGACATTTCAGTATTAGCAAACACCATTGAGTATGAGACACGAAAACGCTGTAACAAGCGAAATATACGTACATAGCACAGCCAGCTGAAGGGACACATTGGTCATCCCAACCACATTCTCAGAGATGCAGGTCAGAACAAATCCGTTGTCGTCTCTGCTCACGTTGACCAGCGTCAGGTTGATGGAGTGAATGTTGGGCCAGTAGACATTCGACTGGAGGGCAGACAAGAAACATTACGCTATGGTTAGATTGAAAATAAGGTTGGAGAGTTTGTTTGGTGAGGGATGAATGGCGCTCACCTGGTGCGTGTTGATGGAGTGAAGGCCGTTCACAGTCCAGTCCACCTCAGGTAATGGAGAACCAGAGCCGTTACAGCTGAGCATCACGTTATCGCCCTCCAACACAGTGAGGTTACTGTGAGCAACGCTGATATCTGGCAGGTCTAGATCAGAGCAAGGACTTTTAAGTCTATACGTTAATTGCTTTCTTAAAAGAATGGCTCAAATCGGCAATAACAAACTTTTTTTTTTTACCATGTTTTACCACCAGTCAATAATTAGCAAGTTAACATGGCATATATAGTGTAAACATTTTGTTAATTCCGAAGCATAACAGTTAGTGTAAGCTATAGTTAGCTTAGCATAGTCATTTATTTGTAAGAAAATGCCATTTTCTTTGATATACTATTATTGGTTAAACTTTATTTTATTTTTGTGTCTGTGATACAGTGTAACTACTTGATTAATTACTTAGTAGTAGACTAACATATAGCAAAATGTAATTAACATGCAACTAAGTTATGGAACAGTCTGTACTTACTAGGGCTGTCAGTTAAACGCGTTATTAACGGCGTTAACGCAAACCCATTTTAACGGCGTCAATTTTTTTATCGCGCAATTAACGGTCTTTTTGTCCGAGCAAACTTTGTACTTTTTTTTTTTTTCACATGCTTATGCAACAGGACGCGCCGTTGCGCTCCGAAACCCATTCATTTTAATGGCTTGCGCCACGCGAGGATGTTTTGTTGCTTCTAGCGGATCTAGCTAGACCGGAAACAAAACAACAAGCACGGCGCACACACTCGTTTGGGCTTGCGAGCCGGCCAAATAGTTGGTTAACGTTACGTTTTGAGTGGATGGCGAGCGCGAGACGCCGAAATGAATGCCAGTAAGATTCTGAATGGAAATTTTACTTTTAAAAGTTGCCAAATTCCATCGACAAGACCAAAGTGATCTGTGTGTTTTGTCGTTGTGAACTGAGCTATCATCATCACAGCACGTCCAGGCTGAAATACCACTAGATGATGGCCACACACACACAGCTGATGCGACTTCTCCGCCCCCTCGTCAATATCAGGACCTTGTCAGTTTTTCTTTCACCTTTTTATTAATGGGCAGTGTTACATTGTGTGACAGATTATTTGCTCCAAGTGAGAATGTTAGTATGAAATTGAACACAGTATATGCCAACGTTGTTTAAATTAAAAAAAAATTGTACAAAGCAAGCCGATCCAATTTTTCGTGTTGATAAGAGCATTAAATTTAGAAAAATCGGACAAAAATAAATCAAGAGACGTTTAGAACAAATTAAAATGTGCGATTAATCGTGAGTTAACTATGACATTAATGCGATTAATCGCGATTAAATATTTTAGTCGTTTGACAGCACTAGTACTTACAGATTGTAATTACACTCATGTATTAGGCAGCTATTGTTACCGACTTGGTACAATGTTACTAAGGTAAAAAGCCTACAGTTACACATGGTCATTTTGTATTAAGTGTATCAAGGTTGTACTTAAGGGTACTGTTTTAGCAAAAATATGCATGTCTCATTTGTATATGATGTTTTGATGTGTACACTGTAAAAAATATTTTCAAGATTTGTTATCACAACATATTTTCTTTTGTCAAATCAACTTTATAATATTTTATTTAGTTGAGATAACTTATTATTTTGAGTTTCTGATGATTAAATTAATCTCCTTCATTGTATTAACTCACTTTTTCCAGTTCAATCAACTTAAAATTTCAAGGCAACCCAGGCTACTTACTTTTTTAAGTTAAACGAACAATATTTTTTTACAGTGTAGTAATCACATTTTTTCTTTTGTCAAATCAACTTAAATAATTTATTTAGTTCAGATAACATATAATTTTGAGTTTCTGATGATTAAATTAATCTCCTTCATTGCATTAACTCACTTTTTCCAGTTCAATGAACTTAAAATTTTAAGGCAACCAGGTTACTTACTTTAAGTTAAACCATCAATATTTTTTTTACAGTGTATCCAAATATGTTTGCATGACAAAACTCTGCACAATTTCCTTGATTACACAAGGACATTGTTTGAAAATCTTACCCCACTACTACTTTCTTTCCAATACTGCATCATAATGTTAGATAAGCATTGCATCATACAAGTAATATAATCTTATATAACAATACATAGAGCATGCTAGGCCTACAGTTGTATTATTTATGAAGAAAGATGTCTTACCACAGCGGGCAATGCTCATTGATCTCAGGCGAATCTTAGATGCGCCGTTCTTGCAGTAGAGTTGCTGGGTGTGCAGGCCGGCCTCACCTCGCAGCTGCCAGAGCTGAATCCATCGAATCTCACAGCCGCAGTCAAAGACGATTCCCTCCAGCCTCCTGCGTCAACAACACAGCTAACGGTAGTTACACAATCCAAACTCAGAGCTAGGCATGCAAAATCATCAAACAGTTTTGTGACACTATCTCCAGGGTGGTGTGAAATAGTGACCCAGGCTGATTGCTAAAAGGTTGATTTCCCACTTGGGGAGATCCATAAGCAATCCCCATCATTCCCTTGAGTAACATACAAAACCATGGGCTGCTCCAGAAGGACTGTTTTGTAGTCTGACTCTGCTAATTGACTATTTATTTAGCCTTGCATGACATGCGTTGCACTCAACCGTTTTGTCAGCTGCATCTTTTTACAAGTCACATACATGATGCATAACAAACCACATTCAAAGCATGGATATTTACATTTCAAAGGTTTAAAACTGGCAACTGCAAAAAATATCATAATTCCCATTCCCAGCTGCGACATTTTAGACTGTTACTGAAACATGAGATCAGTAAATGAAGTAAAATTTAAGTAAACATTAAAAAAGGCATTCTCTGAAGGCAGGTTTTAATAGCTTCCAGTTGTTTGGTTTGTTTTTTTAGTATATTCCAATTCAGATTCCCACAAAAATATGAAGCAGTAGAAGTTATGTTTTTGATGAAAACATTCCAGGATTTTCTCTTTATAATGGACTTCAATGGGAACCAAACGGTTCAAGGTCCAAAAGACAGTTTCGGTGCAAACTGTTCAAAGGGCTTTATACGACACCAGACGATGAATAAGAGTCTTATCTAGCGAAACGATCTTTCATTTAAAAAATAAATAAAAAATTTTAAGTTTTATAAGCACAAATGCTCACCTTTATGACTCTCCTGTTCAAACTCGTTCATCAAAATGAACAAATCTTTTTTCGAGTCATGAAACTAAGGGTCCTAGATAAGACCCTTATTCATCGTCTGGTGTCGTTTGAAGCTGCTCTGAAACTGTCTTTTGGACCTTGAACCGTTTGGTTCCCATTGAAGTCCATTATAAAGAGAAAATCCTGGAATGTTTTCATCAAAAACATAACTTCTACTGCTTCATATTTTTGTGTGAATCTGAATTGGAATATACTAAAAAAACAAACCAAACAACTGGAAGCTATTAAAACCTGCCTTCAGAGAATGCCTTTTTTAATGTTTACTTAAATTTTACTTCATTTACTGATCTCATGTTTCAGTAACAGTCTAAAATGTCGCAGCTGGGAATGGGAATTATGATATTTTTTGCAGTTGCCAGTTTTAAACCTTTGAAATGTAAATATCCATGCTTTGAATGTGGTTTGTTATGCATCATGTATGTGACTTGTAAAAAGATGCAGCTGACAAAACGGTTGAGTGCAACGCATGTCATGCAAGGCTAAATAAATAGTCAATTAGCAGAGTCAGACTACAAAACAGTCCTTCTGGAGCAGCCCATGGTTTTGTATGTTACTCAAGGGAATGATGGGGATTGCTTATGGATCTCCCCAAGTGGGAAATCAACCTTTTAGCAATCAGCCTGGGTCACTATTTCACACCACCCTGGAGATAGTGTCACAAAACTGTTTGATGATTTTGCATGCCTAGCTCTGAGTTTGGATTGTGTAACTACCGTTAGCTGTGTTGTTGACGCAGGAGGCTGGAGGGAATCGTCTTTGACTGCGGCTGTGAGATTCGATGGATTCAGCTCTGGCAGCTGCGAGGTGAGGCCGGCCTGCACACCCAGCAACTCTACTGCAAGAACGGCGCATCTAAGATTCGCCTGAGATCAATGAGCATTGCCCGCTGTGGTAAGACATCTTTCTTCATAAATAATACAACTGTAGGCCTAGCATGCTCTATGTATTGTTATATAAGATTATATTACTTGTATGATGCAATGCTTATCTAACATTATGATGCAGTATTGGAAAGAAAGTAGTAGTGGGGTAAGATTTTCAAACAATGTCCTTGTGTAATCAAGGAAATTGTGCAGAGTTTTGTCATGCAAACATATTTGGATACACTGTAAAAAAAATATTGATGGTTTAACTTAAAGTAAGTAACCTGGTTGCCTTAAAATTTTAAGTTCATTGAACTGGAAAAAGTGAGTTAATGCAATGAAGGAGATTAATTTAATCATCAGAAACTCAAAATTATATGTTATCTGAACTAAATAAATTATTTAAGTTGATTTGACAAAAGAAAAAATGTGATTACTACACTGTAAAAAAATATTGTTCGTTTAACTTAAAAAAGTAAGTAGCCTGGGTTGCCTTGAAATTTTAAGTTGATTGAACTGGAAAAAGTGAGTTAATACAATGAAGGAGATTAATTTAATCATCAGAAACTCAAAATAATAAGTTATCTCAACTAAATAAAATATTATAAAGTTGATTTGACAAAAGAAAATATGTTGTGATAACAAATCTTGAAAATATTTTTTACAGTGTACACATCAAAACATCATATACAAATGAGACATGCATATTTTTGCTAAAACAGTACCCTTAAGTACAACCTTGATACACTTAATACAAAATGACCATGTGTAACTGTAGGCTTTTTACCTTAGTAACATTGTACCAAGTCGGTAACAATAGCTGCCTAATACATGAGTGTAATTACAATCTGTAAGTACTAGTGCTGTCAAACGACTAAAATATTTAATCGCGATTAATCGCATTAATGTCATAGTTAACTCACGATTAATCGCACATTTTAATTTGTTCTAAACGTCTCTTGATTTATTTTTGTCCGATTTTTCTAAATTTAATGCTCTTATCAACACGAAAAATTGGATCGGCTTGCTTTGTACAATTTTTTTTTAATTTAAACAACGTTGGCATATACTGTGTTCAATTTCATACTAACATTCTCACTTGGAGCAAATAATCTGTCACACAATGTAACACTGCCCATTAATAAAAAGGTGAAAGAAAAACTGACAAGGTCCTGATATTGACGAGGGGGCGGAGAAGTCGCATCAGCTGTGTGTGTGTGGCCATCATCTAGTGGTATTTCAGCCTGGACGTGCTGTGATGATGATAGCTCAGTTCACAACGACAAAACACACAGATCACTTTGGTCTTGTCGATGGAATTTGGCAACTTTTAAAAGTAAAATTTCCATTCAGAATCTTACTGGCATTCATTTCGGCGTCTCGCGCTCGCCATCCACTCAAAACGTAACGTTAACCAACTATTTGGCCGGCTCGCAAGCCCAAACGAGTGTGTGCGCCGTGCTTGTTGTTTTGTTTCCGGTCTAGCTAGATCCGCTAGAAGCAACAAAACATCCTCGCGTGGCGCAAGCCATTAAAATGAATGGGTTTCGGAGCGCAACGGCGCGTCCTGTTGCATAAGCATGTGAAAAAAAAAAAAGTACAAAGTTTGCTCGGACAAAAAGACCGTTAATTGCGCGATAAAAAAATTGACGCCGTTAAAATGGGTTTGCGTTAACGCCGTTAATAACGCGTTTAACTGACAGCCCTAGTAAGTACAGACTGTTCCATAACTTAGTTGCATGTTAATTACATTTTGCTATATGTTAGTCTACTACTAAGTAATTAATCAAGTAGTTACACTGTATCACAGACACAAAAATAAAATAAAGTTTAACCAATAATAGTATATCAAAGAAAATGGCATTTTCTTACAAATAAATGACTATGCTAAGCTAACTATAGCTTACACTAACTGTTATGCTTCGGAATTAACAAAATGTTTACACTATATATGCCATGTTAACTTGCTAATTATTGACTGGTGGTAAAACATGGTAAAAAAAAAAAGTTTGTTATTGCCGATTTGAGCCATTCTTTTAAGAAAGCAATTAACGTATAGACTTAAAAGTCCTTGCTCTGATCTAGACCTGCCAGATATCAGCGTTGCTCACAGTAACCTCACTGTGTTGGAGGGCGATAACGTGATGCTCAGCTGTAACGGCTCTGGTTCTCCATTACCTGAGGTGGACTGGACTGTGAACGGCCTTCACTCCATCAACACGCACCAGGTGAGCGCCATTCATCCCTCACCAAACAAACTCTCCAACCTTATTTTCAATCTAACCATAGCGTAATGTTTCTTGTCTGCCCTCCAGTCGAATGTCTACTGGCCCAACATTCACTCCATCAACCTGACGCTGGTCAACGTGAGCAGAGACGACAACGGATTTGTTCTGACCTGCATCTCTGAGAATGTGGTTGGGATGACCAATGTGTCCCTTCAGCTGGCTGTGCTATGTACGTATATTTCGCTTGTTACAGCGTTTTCGTGTCTCATACTCAATGGTGTTTGCTAATACTGAAATGTCAAATTATGCAGCTTGTTGAGGCAACATATGCTGGTACTTTCAGGATTCACAAAAACATTCATACAAATGCAATTATTCTTAACTGCTATCTCCTTATTTTCTTAAAGGAGTAGTTCACTTTTGAAAAAACTTTTGCTGATAATTTACTCACCCCCATGTCATCCAAGATGTCCATGTCTTTCTTTCCTCAGTCGAAAAGAAATTAAGGTTTTTGATGAAAACATTCCAGGATTTTTCTCCATATAATGGACTTACATGGGAACCAGTTGGTCGGAGGTCCAAACGACAGTTAATAACAGTTTCAGATGCAGCTTCAAATGTCTTTAAACGACACCAGACGATGAATAAGGGTCTTATCATGCCAAACGATCGGTTATTTCAAAGCTTATTCCAAAAATGTAACTTTTCTAAGGACAAATGCTAGCATTGCTCCATTCTGTGAGGCGCGTTTGTAACGTCACATAATACGTAATCACGTTCAAAAGGTCACGGGCGACGTAGCCAGAAGTACAGAGTCAGAGCGTTTACAAGTTGAACGCATAGGTTGAACGTGCAAACTAACTCAAACGCCGTTTGAGACAACGATGTCGGACGATTTTGATTCTGTACTTCCGGCTACGTCGCCCGTGACCTTTTGAACGTAATTACGCATTACGTGACGTTGCAAACGCGCCTCACAGAATGGAGCAATGCTAGCATTTGTCCTTAGAAAAGTTACATTTTTGGAATAAGTTTTGAAATAACCGATCGTTTCGAATGATAAGACCCTTATTCATCGTCTGGTGTCGTTTAAAGACATTTGAAGCTGCATCTGAAACTGTTATTAACTGTCGTTTGGACCTCCGACCAACTGGTTCCCATGTAAGTCCATTATATGGAGAAAAATCCTGGAATGTTTTCATCAAAAACCTTAATTTCTTTTCGACTGAGGAAAGAAAGACATGGACATCTTGGATGACATGGCGGTGAGTAAATTATCAGCAAAAGTTTTTTCAAAAGTGAACTACTCCTTTAAGAAAATAAGGAGATAGCAGTTAAGAATAATTGCATTTGTATGAATGTTTTTGTGAATCCTGAAAGTACCAGCATATCTTGCCTCAACAAGCTGCATAATTTGACATTTCAGTATTAGCAAACACCATTGAGTATGAGACACGAAAACGCTGTAACAAGCGAAATATACGTACATAGCACAGCCAGCTGAAGGGACACATTGGTCATCCCAACCACATTCTCAGAGATGCAGGTCAGAACAAATCCGTTGTCGTCTCTGCTCACGTTGACCAGCGTCAGGTTGATGGAGTGAATGTTGGGCCAGTAGACATTCGACTGGAGGGCAGACAAGAAACATTACGCTATGGTTAGATTGAAAATAAGGTTGGAGAGTTTGTTTGGTGAGGGATGAATGGCGCTCACCTGGTGCGTGTTGATGGAGTGAAGGCCGTTCACAGTCCAGTCCACCTCAGGTAATGGAGAACCAGAGCCGTTACAGCTGAGCATCACGTTATCGCCCTCCAACACAGTGAGGTTACTGTGAGCAACGCTGATATCTGGCAGGTCTAGATCAGAGCAAGGACTTTTAAGTCTATACGTTAATTGCTTTCTTAAAAGAATGGCTCAAATCGGCAATAACAAACTTTTTTTTTTTACCATGTTTTACCACCAGTCAATAATTAGCAAGTTAACATGGCATATATAGTGTAAACATTTTGTTAATTCCGAAGCATAACAGTTAGTGTAAGCTATAGTTAGCTTAGCATAGTCATTTATTTGTAAGAAAATGCCATTTTCTTTGATATACTATTATTGGTTAAACTTTATTTTATTTTTGTGTCTGTGATACAGTGTAACTACTTGATTAATTACTTAGTAGTAGACTAACATATAGCAAAATGTAATTAACATGCAACTAAGTTATGGAACAGTCTGTACTTACTAGGGCTGTCAGTTAAACGCGTTATTAACGGCGTTAACGCAAACCCATTTTAACGGCGTCAATTTTTTTATCGCGCAATTAACGGTCTTTTTGTCCGAGCAAACTTTGTACTTTTTTTTTTTTCACATGCTTATGCAACAGGACGCGCCGTTGCGCTCCGAAACCCATTCATTTTAATGGCTTGCGCCACGCGAGGATGTTTTGTTGCTTCTAGCGGATCTAGCTAGACCGGAAACAAAACAACAAGCACGGCGCACACACTCGTTTGGGCTTGCGAGCCGGCCAAATAGTTGGTTAACGTTACGTTTTGAGTGGATGGCGAGCGCGAGACGCCGAAATGAATGCCAGTAAGATTCTGAATGGAAATTTTACTTTTAAAAGTTGCCAAATTCCATCGACAAGACCAAAGTGATCTGTGTGTTTTGTCGTTGTGAACTGAGCTATCATCATCACAGCACGTCCAGGCTGAAATACCACTAGATGATGGCCACACACACACAGCTGATGCGACTTCTCCGCCCCCTCGTCAATATCAGGACCTTGTCAGTTTTTCTTTCACCTTTTTATTAATGGGCAGTGTTACATTGTGTGACAGATTATTTGCTCCAAGTGAGAATGTTAGTATGAAATTGAACACAGTGTATGCCAACGTTATTTAAATAATAAAAAAAAAATTGTACAAAGCAAGCCGATCCAATTTTCCGTGTTGATAAGAGCATTAAATTTAGAAAAATCGGACAAAAATAAATCAAGAGACGTTTAGAACAAATTAAAATGTGTGATTAATCGTGAGTTAACTATGACATTAATGCGATTAATCGCGATTAAATATTTTAGTCGTTTGACAGCACTAGTACTTACAGATTGTAATTACACTCATGTATTAGGCAGCTATTGTTACCGACTTGGTACAATGTTACTAAGGTAAAAAGCCTACAGTTACACATGGTCATTTTGTATTAAGTGTATCAAGGTTGTACTTAAGGGTACTGTTTTAGCAAAAATATGCATGTCTCATTTGTATATGATGTTTTGATGTGTACACTGTAAAAAATATTTTTTTTAAGATTTGTTATCACAACATATTTTCTTTTGTCAAATCAACTTTATAATAATTTATTTAGTTGAGATAACTTATTATTTTGAGTTTCTGATGATTAAATTAATCTCCTTCATTGTATTAACTCACTTTTTCCAGTTCAATCAACTTAAAATTTCAAGGCAACCCAGGTTACTTACTTTTTTAAGTTAAACCAACAATATTTTTTTACAGTGTAGTAATCACATTTTTTCTTTTGTCAAATCAACTTAAATAATTTATTTAGTTCAGATAACATATAATTTTGAGTTTCTGATGATTAAATTAATCTCCTTCATTGTATTAACTCACTTTTTCCAGTTCAATGAACTTAAAATTTTAAGGCAACCAGGTTACTTACTTTAAGTTAAACCATCAATATTTTTTTACAGTGTATCCAAATATGTTTGCATGACAAAACTCTGCACAATTTCCTTGATTACACAAGGACATTGTTTGAAAATCTTACCCCACTACTACTTTCTTTCCAATACTGCATCATAATGTTAGATAAGCATTGCATCATACAAGTAATATAATCTTATATAACAATACATAGAGCATGCTAGGCCTACAGTTGTATTATTTATGAAGAAAGATGTCTTACCACAGCGGGCAATGCTCATTGATCTCAGGCGAATCTTAGATGCGCCGTTCTTGCAGTAGAGTTGCTGGGTGTGCAGGCCGGCCTCACCTCGCAGCTGCCAGAGCTGAATCCATCGAATCTCACAGCCGCAGTCAAAGACGATTCCCTCCAGCCTCCTGCGTCAACAACACAGCTAACGGTAGTTACACAATCCAAACTCAGAGCTAGGCATGCAAAATCATCAAACAGTTTTGTGACACTATCTCCAGGGTGGTGTGAAATAGTGACCCAGGCTGATTGCTAAAAGGTTGATTTCCCACTTGGGGAGATCCATAAGCAATCCCCATCATTCCCTTGAGTAACATACAAAACCATGGGCTGCTCCAGAAGGACTGTTTTGTAGTCTGACTCTGCTAATTGACTATTTATTTAGCCTTGCATGACATGCGTTGCACTCAACCGTTTTGTCAGCTGCATCTTTTTACAAGTCACATACATGATGCATAACAAACCACATTCAAAGCATGGATATTTACATTTCAAAGGTTTAAAACTGGCAACTGCAAAAAATATCATAATTCCCATTCCCAGCTGCGACATTTTAGACTGTTACTGAAACATGAGATCAGTAAATGAAGTAAAATTTAAGTAAACATTAAAAAAGGCATTCTCTGAAGGCAGGTTTTAATAGCTTCCAGTTGTTTGGTTTGTTTTTTTAGTATATTCCAATTCAGATTCACACAAAAATATGAAGCAGTAGAAGTTATGTTTTTGATGAAAACATTCCAGGATTTTCTCTTTATAATGGACTTCAATGGGAACCAAACGGTTCAAGGTCCAAAAGACAGTTTCAGAGCAGCTTCAAACGACACCAGACGATGAATAAGGGTCTTATCTAGGACCCTTAGTTTTCATGACTCGAAAAAAGATTTGTTCATTTTGATGAACGAGTTTGAACAGGAGAGTCATAAAGGTGAGCATTTGTGCTTATAAAACTTAAAATTTTTTATTTATTTTTTAAATGAAAGATCGTTTCGCTAGATAAGACTCTTATTCATCGTCTGGTGTCGTATAAAGCCCTTTGAACAGTTTGCACCGAAACTGTCTTTTGGACCTTGAACCGTTTGGTTCCCATTGAAGTCCATTATATGGAGAAAAATCCTGGAATGGTTTCATCAAAAACCTTAATTTCTTTTCGACTGAAGAAAGAAAGACATGGACATCTTGGATGACATGGGGGTCAGTAAATTATCAGCAAAAGTTTTTTTTTTAAAGTGAACTACTCCTTGAAGACTATATTTATTTAAAATAACGCAATCTTTTTTCCAGTCCTGAGTGCATGATTATTTGATGTGCATAAATATAATCATTGACAAGACATAGCATGTTTTTATATTTATTAAATATTTACAAAATATATAGTAGAATTTCTCTTCTAAAATTAATTCAATCTTCCAGGATTTGCACATTATGCTGACAAATGGGTATGCCTGATTTCTGACAAAGCTGAGCGGACATTGATTACTGGAACAATACAACTTTTCACTTCTTGAAAAACACAGCCGCAGTAGCTGAATGGAAAGAAAAATGAGGCGCTCACAACGTGATGAACTGTATATCATTACCCACAGGCTTTGATCTCAGCGTGAAACCATAGTCTATTAATCTGTATACTCGGGTTGGGAAATACAGTACTGTATGTTTTCAGAGCCCTTCATTATTTTGCAAATCCCTTTCTGCAAACCTTCAGGAGTCAGGTCATCCACAGGAAGAACTACATCTGTACGACATGGATTGAGCTGACAGTTAGAAGTGATGTAAAGAATGTAATTCTGAGAGAAATATGAAACTGTTTCTTCATGAAGTAAACTAAGGAGTTGAGTCTAACAACAACAAAAAAGAAAACGACATAATTATATGTTCTTTGAGCTTAAACTTAGGCATCATTTACGCTGCCAGGAATAAACCAGCGGCGGCCAACGGGGGGTGGGGTGGGGGGCTGACTATCATCAACGGTGATTGACAGCCTATAACATGATTATGCACACTGATGAGGTTTAGTTGCGTGTGTGCACCTGAAAGCTATTTAGGAATAAAATTGTAAGATGCAAAGAAATTCCTCTGAATCTAATGGGATCATTTCCATTTGAAGAATAAAACAAAACACAGATGTTTCGAAGCAGCGGGTCTAAATAGTTTTTTCTTCCAGAATCAAGATTTTGCCTCCAGTGGATACCTAACGTACTTCCAAAAAAAAAAAAAAAATTATTTAAAAATGAACATTCAAATGTATTTCCCCAGCATGTCATCAGATCATACTTGTGACCCACCAATTGAGAACCAGTATTAAAGGATAAAGTCTAAATAATTTTTCCTAACCTATGGGCTGATATTACATTACAATGACTGTTAGGATGGATTCACTGAGTCTGGAAATCAATAATGCCTGTGAATCTCATCAAGCTCTGAAGATTACACCATTATTACAGCACCACAGCAACATAACTGATCCCAATCTACTCCATTATTCTCCATAATACATGCAATTTGTTCTGTGAAGTTCAAATTTGTTTGGTAACAAAGTATATTCAGTGAACATAAATGCAATTTATCCAGTTGTTCTTTTCTTAGCCTTTTCTTCCATTGCAGAGATGCAACATCCATTTCATTTAAAAGCATTTTTATATAAAGTAGTTTGAATCTATCTATCGATCTATCGGATTCCCATATTCAGGCCTAAAACTGACTTGTTGCCATATAGACTTTAATTTTTAAAAACCATGAAACTGATTTAGCAAAAACAGGCAGTTATAAAAAAACTAAATTTGTCGATACCTGTGAAATATCACAATTCCCTATTCCAATTTAACCAATACACATTAAAAACATTGTTAAAGACAAAGTAACAGAAGTTTTCAGAGACATTGAATAAACTAATCAATTGTAAAATGACACTGGATAGCATAAACTCAACTGTATAAATAAACTTAATTTAATCTTTATTGAATATACAAAAGTTATTCAAAAGCATTAAGTGATTTTTCTTTGTCTTTTGTTGTTTAATTACCATTTAAAACAAAGAGCAGCAGGATTATTTGGCTGCTGTCACTTTAAGACTAATGCACGGATCCAATACTGATACACACGCATTTTACATTCACTTAACTGGCTATGTTTACTAAGACTGCCATTTATGACAATCTTTTGTGAATTTGTCAGTTTAAGCACAAAACCTGAAAGAGAGCTCAGTTTTGTGTTTGCACGCTGTCTTCTTGTACTTTAATATTTAAATGGCCAAGGCTTAAACTTCCGTGAGTATGCAGCACTGTCCCGAGCGTTGTTCATGTTTATTCACGTCCATGTTCTCACAACATGGTAATTAGTTCACTTTAAAAAAAAAAAAATCCTGATAATTTACTCACCCCCATGTCATTCAAGATGTTCATGTCTTTCTTTCTTCAGTCAAAAAGAAATGAACATTTTTGAGGAAAACGTTCAAGGATTTTTCTCCATATAATGGACTTCAATGGAAACCAGCGGTTTGAAGGTCCACTTGTCAGTCTCAGTGCTGCTTCAATGTCTCAACACGCTCCCAGTCGAGAAATAAGGGTCTTATCTAGTGAAACGATCAATCCTTTTCTAAAATAAAATAAATATTATATACTTTTTAACCACAAATGCCCGTCTTATATCTCTGATATGCGCTACGACTAGGTCATCAAGTCGGAAAGGTCACCCGTGACATCGTTAAACATCCAGGATATGCACACATAAGGACCATTTTAAACAATAAACTGACAAATACATATAAATACGTGTCATTCAACATACTTGGTACTTCTGACATGTCCAATGTGATGCCGTAATGCGTGGCACATCTCAGAGACGGTACAAGATGGGCATTTGTGGTTAAAAAGTATAATTATTATTTATTTTTTTTAAGAAAATGACTGATCGTTTTGCTAATTCTCTACTGGGATCGTGTCGAGCCATTGAAGCTGCATTGAGACTGACATGTGGACCTTCAAACCGTTGGTTGCCATTATATGGAGAAAAATCCTGGAATGTTTTCCTCAAAAACCTTCATTTCTTTTTGACTGAAGAAAGAAAGATATGAACATCTTGAATGACATGGGGGTGAGTAAATTATCAGGAAAATTTTATTTGAAAGTGAACTAATCCTTTAGGACTTATACGATTGACTCGTATACTCGCGAAGTTTTATATATATATATATTTATTTTTATATATATACAGTAAGTATATATATATATATACATACTTACTGTATCTGCTTCTACATTAGTGAAAATCTATGGGGAAATGTCTGCATTTTACTTTTTTTGAATCTAATTGGCAATAATGAATGTTTTGCTTAAAGGACGGTTCTTGTAAGTGGGAAAAAACACCCCTTCAGCAAAGTAAATACATATTTTGTGTCATACAGTATACTTTTTGATAAAAGGAACTGTCCTTTCGTCCTGAGTAGCCTAATACTGTTAAAATTAAAGTCTAAAAAATAGTGAGTTATAATTAGTAATGCCAGCCCATCTTGATGTCACTTCCTTTGTAAAAAAGGAAGTACTTACCCTGATAGAGGAGATACCAAGAACTTATGCTAATGAAGTATGTCTGCAAATGTTTGTGTTCTAAGTGTCCTTGGCTCGAAGACAATGACTTTGTCGGATTTATTGCAATGCAGTATTTCATTTTCATTTTAAGTGTAGTTTAACCGTATGATCAATCATTTTGATGACACATCATGCCAGTGGTGAATGTCACTCTTTGAGATAATACAGAGCAGCAAGAAAACTCAGAAACATCATTTCAAATGGACATACATTTTGTTTTAATAATCCCAGACTTTTAAAAGGATAGCGGACCCAAAAATAAAAGTTCTGTCATCTTTTACTCACCCTCATGTCGTTCCAAACCTGCAGACTTTCTGCTGCGGAACACAAAAGAAGATGCGTTGAAGAACGTTGGGGTCTAAACAACATTGGAGCCCATTGATTTCCATTGTAAACCAAGATATATATTTATTTCTTCAGGAACAATATGAAGGTCTGTAAATGATGACAGAATCAGTATAATTTTGGGGTGAATTATCCCTTTTTTTTATTGTCTTGTAACTAACCCTTTAACATGGCGAAGTTTTAATTTTTGCTGTCATTATACGGTCATTGTTTTGGAGATGCTTGTGTCAGATAATTTGTACACTACAACAGTGATGTCCTTTATGAATACTCACTTTACAGTCATTCATTATTATAAAGATTCTTAATAATACCAGAGATTTCACTCATTAAAACGATAACAATAGAGCGGACTGGAATAAGTACAAAGATTTACATTCACTCTCAAAAATTTCCATTAACATTTTCACATATTTTCCAGGTCTTGATATTATAATTTCTTTTTTTTTTTAAGGTAATTGCATCTTTTTATCTCACAATTTTCTCACAACTGCAAGCTATGAACTGATAATTTCGAGTTTACATCTGGCAACATTGATTTTTTTTTCCGTAGAATTGTGAGTTAACGTCACAATTTTGACTTTTTTTCTTGGAAATTCACAATTGTTTTTTTTACACCATACATAGAGTACTTCAGACTTTTTATATTACAATTCTGATTTTCCTTTTTATATGAATTGCTGGGAAAACAAAAATCAAACTTGTAAGATAGGCGAAACATGCAGTTCCGATTATTAGATTATTCCTATAATTTACCCAAAATCAAATTAAACAAAACAGTATGAAGTTAATCTTTTGATATCGACTCATAATGGCATGTTTAGATGCAGTTGAACACATATTTTAGCACTGAATTTAATCTTACATTTCAGCACTGAACTGTGCTGAAATGATCTCTAAAGCACCCCACCTGGAAAATATTGCATAATTCACCATGACAGTGAACATTTAATTTCTAATTTTCCAGAGGACAGATTTGGACGAATGACATGCGTTGTTTATATGCATCATCCACAATATCCACATCAGCGAGGACAGGAAAGACAGCACTCCACACAGTTGAAATCCCCTAACACATTCTGAAATGAAAGGCCGAAAATGTGCGTAATAAAAAATTAAGCAGGACATATGTCAGTGGCTCGGCGAGTTGTGATCAGCCACAACAAAGAACGAGGACAGGACGTGTCAAATGAAAAATAATTGAATTGTTTTGTCATTTTAAACACAACACGACGGCACCACGTCGTCGCTCACGATCAATAAACAAACTCATCACTTTATGTACATGTAGATTGCTCAAATATTCATGACAAACAAGAAAATGAGGTCAGGCTCTCAGCAGACAAGACCAATACATTTCAATGCCATGTCTTAATTAACCAGCACGATTCGCAGACATAAACAGCATTTCTGCTTCATCACTGGAGAAGTTTTGCTTTGACAGAGACACAAGTCTATTCGGGTCCACAAACAAATTAATCAACAGTAACGAGCTGAAAACATCTCTAAAGAACACAGCAATGCAATTGAGCATCAAGCCTGCATTTCAGCGTCCAATTTGGCAGGCGAGTGCTGCTTATCACGGAAATCTATGCAGAGAGAGCTTTGAGATCTATCATAGATTGAGGAGTTATTGCTTGGTGTGTTTATTTATCTCACATTGGTGAAATACTGTCAACCAATGCAGGATGAACTTACAGTTCGAGCAGCTGAAGGTGCTGAAAAAGCTGCCAAGAGAGTGTCGTCAGAGGGTTCCTGGACAGGTTTCTGTGGGGGGGGAATAAAAAGAAAGAGGGATAGTGATTTACCATTAAGCTGTGAACACATGAATCAATACAAATCCACATGAAATAGGGTTACAACCCATTTTACTTCCAAAATGGGGCATTTCTGAGTGAAACTGGATGTTTATTGAGAAAAGGATCAGAAAGAAACGTGAATCAAATTCAGTCAATATATTAAGGCTAGAAGCATGTCAGTTTGATTTCACATTGACCTTGAAATATGAATAAAAATAGAATAAAATAAATAGCGTTTTGATTTTACTTACATTTAAGGCAAGTGGTTAGAGGAAATGAGTTGATTTACTTTAGACACGTTTGATGTTGAACTTACTAGTGTTTCATTAAAGGGATACTCCACTTTTTTTGGAAATAGGCTCATTTTACAACTCCCTCAGGGTTAAACATTTGGGTTTTACCATTTTCTAATGTATTCAGCCGATTTTCTGATATTTAGAAGACAGTGTTGTAGTACTCGAGACTCGGACTCATCTCGGACTCGGTCTCGAGACCATATTTTAATGGTCTTGGTCTTGTCATGGACTCGTGTCCATTTGGACTCGGAATTGACTCGTACTCAAACATTTTTTTTTTTTTAGGACTCGGACTTATTCCCCAGTCCACTCGAGTTCAATTAAAAATATTTTTCATGATTATTAATGTATGTTAATAAAATATTTCTTTAAATTGATTGACACGCCCAGTGATTGGTGATTTTCTAGTGCGCAACTGCACATGACAAATTGTAATAAAATTACTTTTAACACCACCTACTATGTGGCCTTTTTACCCTAAACTGATCATATTTTTAAACTAAGTAAATTCAGTAAAAAAAAAAAAAGGATTTCTCTAAGTAAATAAAAGTAAATTAGGTAATCAACCCTCACTGGTCTCGGTCTCGACTCGGACTCGACCGTCTCTGGTCTCAGTGTCGACTCGGACTCGAGGGAGGTGGTCTCGACTACAACACTGTTAGAAGAATTTCAGTAACCAGAGAGTTTCTGGTCTCATTGACTTCCATAGTAGGAAAAAAAAAATACTATGGAAGTCAATGAGACCAGAAACTGTCTGGTTAGTGATATTCTTCAAAATATAAAAAAAAAATGGATTCGAAAACGGTAAAAACTCAACTGTTTAACTCTGGGGAGTTGTAAAATGAGCCTATTTCCAACAAAAAGTGGAGTATCCCTTGTTATGTATGTTTTATTTATAGTTTCTATAAATCACATTGCACGTTTGCATTCAAATACAACAAGAAGTGTTATCATTAGCACAGCTATTGCTCATTGAGTAATGAATCATACATGTAACCACTTAAGCACAAACTCTACTCTTCAGCACAACGGTAACCAGAATAATTACATATTTTGAGCAAATAAATGTTTGCCTTGCTGAGCATGAGAGACTTCTTTCAAAAACAATCTTACCAGCAAGCTCACCAATTGTGTTGCTTCAGCTCATTTTAATAAAGTAAATTTAACAATATTGAAATACAGTAGAATACTAACAAACACGGTTAAAATATTGTCAAATACTAGCAAAATACTCGAAATAAAAAGCCTGCAAACCTTAATAGTTCATGAATGTGGTACACAAATACTAATTCAGTGAACACGCTCTGTCAAACACGACATTAAGGAAAGAGTTAACGCGAGAGAGAAGGACTTTATGCAACAGGAAATCAGAGAGAGCCTCCGTCACTGCCAAGAGGAGCTGAGAGAAAAGGAGCAGCTGCAGGGGCCGCTCAGCCAAATCAATAAAGAGAACTTGAGCAGTTCGCCGTCTACAAATTCAGTAGACGCAATGAAAGACTGCAGGTTTTAAAAGCCAACAAATTCAATACAAAGAGGTGGTCTGGGACTTGTAAATGGCTTTTAACCAAGAAAGCTGAAGGCATGATATGCGGTATGGGGTATTAAAATAAATCTACTGGTTATAAAAAAAGATGGACATCCATGATATGGAAGAAAAAAATGGAACAGACATCACAGAACTGGTATTTGAAGGTCTGTAATTCACTTAAATCATCAATCAAAATTGGTAATGTCATTTTTTTATGTATATTTTTAAGATTCTCAGCAAAATATGATTATGAACGGTCCATGGTCTGAAACATTTGGGTAGATCTGTTTCAGCCTGTCTCAAATATATCATACAATGAATACATTGATACATTGAAGGAAATTATAGCCCATATCTTTTCCTAAGTAGAGAAAACTTAGAAAAGTTTGTTATTGGTAAACATGTCATTATTAGAAAATATCATATTTTCTTTACAAATCTTTACAAAACATCTGGCTAAATGATTTATACTTTCATTTAAAATAAGCAGCAATAAATGACAGCAAAAAAAATGCAAACTATAGTGCAAATGTTTAGCCAATGAGATTTTTTTAATTTAAATAAATACTTTAATTCAACAAGGATTCATAAGAGTAAAGACAAAAGATGTCTGTTCTAAATAAATGCTGTTCTTTTTAACTTTCTATTCACCAAAAAAACTAAAATGTTTCCATTAAAAAAACTGAGCAGCACAACGGTTTTCAACACTGATGTATTAATATGAAATGTTTTGAGCAACAAAATACTACATAACATTGTCCTAACCAAACGTGACTGACACCACAACGTGTTAAATGTATGTCTTTATCCTAAAAAGCAGCAACAGCAATACGTGACGATTATATTTTAGGAACAGTTTCTATTTCTGCAATGTTCCAGCTGGAACAACACAATGCATGATAATCTCAGCTACTGATTATGTGCTTTATTTATTGTTAAAAAAAATCTATGTGAGTTTAAATATCATCGTGTGAAAATCTTGAAAATAACTGAAATGAAACAAACAGTGAAAAAACAAATGTATTCTATGATTGTTTCAGTCATAGTCTGTATTTTTATTAGTATTAAAATGGTATAACCCTTGAATTTGATTGTAAACTTATCCATTTCATTGGGAATGCAGTGCTTGCAGAGAGAGACTCCGCCCACACGCTGTTCTGATTGGCTGTGATTTTTGATTGATTTTGTAATCTCTTAGTCATGTCACGTCTGATGTGGACAGACAAGTTTCTTATCGCTGGAAACTTATCGCATCTCGTCTGTTTAGGACATGCGTTAAAATGAAATCTGAAGGATCATGCGGTATGCTACGGATACCTAAAATTACGCAGCTTGCATAAACAGGAAAAAATTGCTTAGACTTACATTGAAAGAGACAACAAAATATATCATCTTGTGTGTGGAGTCTTTTTGACTTGGACCAGTAAGCAACATCCTAATAACCACATAGCTTTTCCTCCAAAGAGATCTGCTCTGTTAGATGGCCGGAGTGATGGATGCATGTCTATAAACTAATTTCTAATAAGCTATTTTGACTAGACGACTGGCGTATTCTTAGGGTCACTGAAACTCTTATGAGTTTTATAACAAGCTTTGCTGGCTGCCAAAGCCCGTCACCATAGCAACAAGCTCTCTGATGCAGGGGGAGGGGTTTTGTTGCTGCTGTGCACTTTAAAGCGTCACCACCCACAACACACACTCAAAAACACACACTTACACTCGTTCTGAAGCTTTTGAGTATTAGTCTGTTTTTCATTTTAAACTCATGGCAATTCAACCATTCAGTTCCTGTCGAAAGAGCTTCTGATGGAGTCTTATTAAAATGTGTTGCATAAGTCAATCTATGTAATTGCACATCTTTGTGGGTGTTACTTAAAGGTGAAGCTTACTGAAGTTTTTTTTTTCAGATTCTAACATAAGCTAGAATCTCTGTGGCGCTGTAAGGCCTCCAGAGTATGTGTGTGTTTTTTTGTTTATTTGTTTGTTTGTTTGTTTGTTTTTGCTGTGCCTTCAAGAAAAACTTTACTTTTAGCTGTTGGATCCAAAATAGTTTTTAACTGTCTCATCTTTCAAAGCCTCTTTGCGAAGCCATTGTGACAGAATTGCAAAACAATCCAAGCTGAAATCTACTGAATAAATGGATAAACTCAGACTGAAACGATCAAACACTTTGTTAAAAATAAACTTCAGCTGCTCGTTTCTAACAATGGGATTTTATAGAAGGATATGCAGAGCAACAGGTGCTACACACAGACTTTTCGTTGTTTAGGAATAACAACATCTCTACTGATTTCTCCTTTTAACCCACCATGACCAGTCAAGCATAATGTCTGGACAACAAATCATTTAAATATAACTGCAAACAGTCATGCATTGACGAACCTGTTGGATATCAGAAAGATATGAAGTTCAAAAAAGACCGTGTGACAATATATCGCAATACAAAAATGCAATGGTGACAATATGTATTATATTTTATATAGTAAAATAAATGCAGCACAATAACACAATGGGGGAATATTTGTGGGTCCTGATAATGCCAAGTGTCATTTGCCATATGTTACCAGTAAAATGTGGCCTAAATTTATTTTAAATTTTTAAATATTTGTAGCTAGCGCAGTGGATAAGTGTATAAATATAAGTATAAATATATATATATATATATATATATATATATATATATATATATATATATATATATATACATATAAAATATGATTAAAAATATTATATATTATATACATCAGGTTACCGTAAGTTACCTAACGTTAGTAAAGTGTTGGTCACGTAAGCTATAGCTGCAATTAACCTATTATCTTCCAATAAATATTTACTAAAACTGGCTACATAAAATATAACTACTGACTAGATTCATGAGTGGTTGGCTAATGTGTGTAAAAGTAAAAAAAAAAAAAATACTGTAATTTAATTAATTTACCAGTATTCCCAAGTTCCTATGGTGGTCTATGGGAGTGTCGCAACTCTTTCTCTCTATGGCTCTGATTACACTCATAATAAGTAGTGTTTTTGAGTTCTGAGTAGTAAAGTACTCATAGTACATCATCAAACTATTTTTTTTCAAAGGATCAAGGAAAATGATATTGTTCATCATGTGACCCCTTTAAGATAATGGCAAATCTGTGA